GGCTTTTAGTGGGAATATGTTACAGATCACCAAATGATACTGATGAATTTAGTGAGAAACTTTACAATGAGATTAAGATTTCATCTGTAGGTCACAATTTTGGGTGATTTTAATTTCAGGCATATAGAATGGGAAATACTAGAGATAAACCATGAGGGAGAAAGGTTTTTGGAAACTGTTCAGGATGGCTTTCTTCACCAGTTAATCAAGGAACCTACTATTGCTCTATTATGTTCAATGTTTTGCTGCATAGAGAGATAAGGAATAATATTTTGGTTAAAAATTTCAAAAAAAAGCTAATTTTGAAGGGATGTGACAAGAACTGTCTCTTGTGAATTGGGCAGCTGAGTTATTTGGGAGGCACTGATCAAATGTGAAATTTTTTTAAATATTCAAGGTAAATATCTTCCTCATAGAAAGAAAAGGGTAGCAGCAAGTAAAAAACCTGGTTGGCTCACAAAGGGTATAAGAGATAAAATTAAAGAAAAGTATAATAAATTTAAGAAATTTAAATTGATCAGTTAGACAAGAGATGTAGAAGATTATAGAAGATCAAGAAAGTTTGCAAAACAGGAAATTAGGACACCAAAAAGGATGTATGAAAAAAGATTGGCTGGAAATGTAAAAATTAACAGTAAAAATTTCTTTAAATATATTAAGCAAAAACAAAATGTTAAGATGGAGGGTAGGACCCTTGAGGGATGATAGAGAAAGGCTAGTATATGATGATTATGAGATGGCTGGGTTATTAAATTTTGCTTTTTCTTCAGTTTTTACTAATGAAAATTTAAGCAGTATGCCACATCTTGAGCAGTTGATAAATGGAAATGAGCTCAAACAAGATGACTGAATTAATTCTGATCTGAACCACGGTTGGTTTGTTTACTTGTTCTGAACCACGGTTGGTTTGTTTACTTGTTCTGAACCACAGTTGGGTTGTCTACTTGTTCTGAACCACAGTTGGTTTGTCTACTTGTTCTGAACCACAGTTGGTTTGTCTACTTGTTCTGAACCACAGTTGGTTTGTCTACTTGTTCTGAACCACAGTTGGTTTGTCTACTTGTTCTGAACCACATTTGGTTTGTCTACTTGTTCTAAACCACAGTTGGTTTGTTTACTTGTTCTTCACTCAACTGCCAATATTAACACTTTATTTTTTATATACATGTCTTTTTCCAGGAAAACCTGACCCTAAATTTATAAATTGAGTTGTGAATCCTTTAAAAGTGATATTGACAGATAAGTGATAAACTTCGGAGCATGATATTTTAAGGTTTTTGGAGTTGTCCAGAATTTGATGTGGAAGAAAAAGTTTAACATAAGTGACTCTAATTAAGGGATTAAAAAAATAAACAGATTTCAAATATTTTGTTATTTACAAAAAGGTTGAAATAACAAAGTTTGGTAAATTTATTTGTATCATAAAAAAAACATAAATATTCTTATTACTGAATTTTTTTCAGGCTGGAAAGGTTGGGGATGTACTGATGATTCTGGTGCTGTATCCTCATCCTTGATGTTGATGAAGACTCTCTTGCTAACTCTCAGTAACTTGTTCTTTATCCCTGCCATTGTACTTGCTTTTCGGAGGAAATTTTACACAGAGGCAATCCTATATACACTGACAATGTTTTTCTCTATTGTGAGTATTGAAGAACAGTCGTTGTTATGGTATAAAATTTACTTTATAACATCACCTGAGACTGGTGAGAAAAAAAAAGAAATGTATAGACTTTTTTACTTGAAGTTAAAAGTTTTCTTCGGGGTTCTCTCTCTCTCTCTCTGTAAATATAATAGTTACAAAAAGCATTTATTTTAGGTGAAAGTGCTACGTGAGAGCATTTTCTTCTGTAAAGGATACTTATTTGAAATTCAGAAATACTGTATAAGGAGCTCATTATTAATTTCATGGAAGGGGAGCTCATTTATTTTACTTCAGTCTAGAGTTAATAAGAAGTGATGAGTGCTTTAAGGTACAAATTATGTTTAACTGGTATTTTAGGTAATGTAACTTGTTTATTTTACTTCATTCTAGAGTTAAAGAGGAGTGATGGGTGCTGTAAGGTACAAATTATGTTTAACTGGTATTTTAGGTAATGTAATTCCTTTTGTAATGTCTGAGGGAATCTACTAACTTAGATCTTTAACTTGTAGTGGAAACAAGTTACAGTAGGTTTGTACAAGAGGTATAGCCACAATAGGGAGCTTTAGACTGACACTAAAATGATGTTACATTTATAATCCTGGAAAGTGTTATTGGAAAAGTAGATGAAAGAGGGCATTCACACGTTGTGCAGCAATAGTTGATAGTTAACTAAATGGAAGAGGGCATTCACACATTGTGCAGCAATAGTTGATAGTTAAGTAGATGGAAGAGGGCATTCACACGTTGTGCAGCAATAGTTGATAGTTAACTAAATGGAAGAGGGCATTCACACATTGTGCAGCAATAGTTGATAGTTAAGTAGATGGAAGAGGGCATTCATACGCTGCACAGCTTTAGTTGATAGTTAAGTAGATGGAAGAGGGCATTCATACGCTGCACAGCTTAGTTGATAGTTAAGTAGATGGAAGAGGGCATTCACACGTTGCACAGCTTTAGTTGATAGTTTGATGATTGTGTATGTGTCTCTCTCTCTGGTTATGTGACTTTTGTGATTACATAAGTTCTAAAACAAATGACAACCATAATAGGCTATAATCTCTCAACATGTCAGTGGATAAGTTGGAATACCTTTGAAAAAAAAAGCCTTTTACTTGCATACTGATCAGCTAGTCCCACTCTTGTGTCTTTCACACGTATTTACGATAATTTTAGTGTCCCAATCTACAGTGCTCTTTCACAAAGACATGTCTATACAAACCAATCACATCTTGATGAAGATGAACAAAACTTTATATTCAAACAAGTGGATGTAATCCATCAAACATCTGAGGATGTATATGTACCCTCAAAATTTTATATCAGTATAAAAACTAATAAAATACAGTAAAGTTTTATTTTAAAATGTCTTTAAGCCTAATTAAGGACAAGAAGATATTAGTAATAATTTGTCTGTTTTTGTTTCCATAAAAAGTATTATTTCTAACACTGCTGGTTTCAGTTTTTGACAATGTTCTTACTACATGTTTATTTTTTACACAGTTCTATCATGCCTGTGACGTTGATATGTTTAGCTATTGCCTGATGAAGTACAACGTCCTCCAGTTCTGTGATTTCTACTCTGCCATTCTCTCTTTCTGGGTCACTGTTGTTGCAATGGCTGATCTTCCACATACTCTCTACTCTATTGCCCACATGGTTGGTGCATTAGGTATTGCACTTGGAGTTGAATATCAACGCACTGGTCTTCTTGTGTTTATTGTTCCTATGGGAACAGGCACTGCCATTATGCTATGCTCCTGGGTAAGTATTGGTAATTTCTCCGGAAGGGGTCATCTGTTTTAACCACTCACACTACAATACAGTAGTATGTTGTCTGTCAGTAAGTCAGTAGACACTAAAATGACATCAATAAAATGTGCACAAGAAGAATTATGTACTCTGTAGGCTACAGCACAGCATGAAATATTAACTTGAAAAGCAAGAAATAAAAATATTTCTTACTCTTAATTTTGGTTTTATTTACTCTTTTACAGAACTCTTTCGGGGACCCCATGGAAGTACATCTAGTTTAAAATATTTTTTAAAACTAACTAGTTTTGTAGATGCCATGGTTAAAGATAATTAATCAAATAAACAAAATGTCAGTCAGTATTCATTGTAAGGAATGTATAATTGGTGTGTTATTTTGGTTTAATTGTTTAAAAATATTAATAAGAAAAGATAACTCATCTTTACTTTTCTGTTGTTTTTTTACCCCATAAAAAATCTTGAATTTCAAATTCAGTTGTTATAAATAAAGTTAATTTTCCAGATAATGAGAACAACTTCCAAGTGTTGTGTGGAATTTCTAACAAATAATGAAAAAATATATGTGCTTTATTTAGGTCTCTAACATAAAAAATTACAAACGTATATTTGATGGGAGCAGTAGATTACTGTAGTGTTAGCACATGGCTGTTTTATTTTTCATTAAAGACCACACTAGGTGCTCTTATTATCTTGTGTGATTCTTCAATATGTAACACTGTACGTTAGTAAAATGTTAGGTAGCTATAACCTGTATAACTAGTTATATGTATAATAATTCTAATTTAATCTGTTTATGACTATCTCTAGTCCATAAAGATATTAACCCTTTCATGACCAGGCATTTTGTATTAACAGGAACCAGGGGAAATTGAATATAAATTTAATGAAATTAAAAACGATTTTGTGTACATTTTATTAAAGGAAAGTCCTATAAACCATTGTATTGATTGTGAAAACTTATCAAAGTATGTACATATGGAAATAGTGAGTATACGAAGTAGACTTTTGTAGTAAGGAAGAGATTACTATTTTAACTGTATATATGGACTGCTATGAAAATTAGCAGTAGTTAACAGTGCTTTAACTGTGTAGTTAATAGTTAGGATAATTACTACTGCAGTGTTGTTTTAATGTAAATGATAATGTGATGATAGTTGAGATATATGTAATATCAGATGATAATTTGGTGATAGATTTAATGAATACATATTTCTGTATTTGTGTCAGCTGTTGTCGAGTTATAAATATTTATAATGGTGTCGTTGTGTGTATAAATTGGAACTATGTAGTCATCTGCTAGTAGGTGAAGTTAGTTACAATTAAGTTTGGTAGTAGAAAAAAAGTGTCAAATCAAAAGACACCTAAATATTGGAAGAAAATATTTATTATATTCAAAGTTTTAAATATTTTTAAGTAATCAGTTTTTTATTGTGAGAAAAGAGCTTTTTTGTGAACAGAGTAAAATTATTTTCTTGTTAGTAATTAATTAAACCATTGAAATAAAAGCCTGTTTTGACACTGTTTTTTTTTAATTTTTTCTTTAGGGACTTAAATGCTATCATACCAAAGGATGTTACCCCATGAAGAAGAAATGGCTTTTGAGTCTTCTACCTGGTATTGCCCTAGCCATTTCAGGATTGATCTTGTTTGCATTTGTTGAAACAGAAGACAACTATAAGTACATCCACAGCATCTGGCATGTCATTGTTGCATTTTCCATTATTTTTCTTCTGCCCACTAAAAGGAAACTTCCTGGACAAGTGAATGTACAACAAGTGGAAACTTCTGCCTGTGCAGACACTGTGGCTTTTCAACATGCTCCCTTGAACAATGACTCGGAACTTGTCGATATTGCTGACTATCGGTTAAATTCCGATCTGAGTTCTCTGATAAGAGAATCAAGATAAAGAAGCTTTCTTTTATAATTCATTTTTGTTTATACCGATTTTACAGATTATTGTGGTATTTCACAGCTTATGAATGGAAAATACTCAGAAAATTATTAAGTTATTTTGAATTTTTATTTTAGTAGATGTAGCTTTGATTAATAAAAAAAAGGAAGTATATGTATACATACATATATATATGTGTGTGTGTGTATGTATGTATATATATATATATATAGGTTGTGTGTGTGTATGTG